GTTGGCATATGGTAGGTTAGTGGTCAATACGTTAGCTTTTATTATTTGTCCTCTTCCCACCATACGGGCAGCAGCTTGGTGAAAGGGCATGAACACGTGCCCTCTCATGTGCACTGTCCACCACACATAGTGAAATGAGCTCAGTTATTACTCAGTTTAAACAATATGGAGCTCTTCCTTCTAAATTCCTTGAGAACAGTGTTTGGCTTGAGTTTTCTGGATTATTGTCTCATAGCTCCCTTTCACTTGGGCTTCTTTACTATATTCCCATTTGCCATCACCTTGGTCATTTATGTTGGGTTACCACTGGGCCTCTAGAATGGGAACACACAGGTGAAAGAAAGACTGAGACTGACAGTGAGCTTCTGGACTGGCAGTGAAATGGTTATTCAACTAGAGTGTCTTCAGTCTACTGCACAAAACTGAATTTTACTTCATTTAGAATCAAAAAAACATTCTAAAAGCCAAACACGAAATTTGCTAATAGGAAAAACAGTGTGACACTCTATAATATACTTACTTACTAAATATATTGATTTGTAATCTATTTTTTTAATTTCTATACAGTATAGGATATATGTTCTCCCACTCCCTCCCACAAAGTACCTATTAGGATTACAATCTCTGGAGCCAGACCGCTTGAGTTCAGATTCTGTCACTCTCACACGCCACTCCCAGTAACATAACATTAGGCAGTAACTTAAACTCTCTAAGAATTAGTTTCCTCACTGTAAGGAGGGAATAATAAGTCTCTCGTGAGGATTAAATGAGATAATGCATGTAAAGGGTCAATGAATTTTATTGAGTTGTTGTTTTTATTGATGTTACTGGGACTTAAATTAGGATTGGCTTCTAAATGGTTATTTGTTATCTGTATGATCCCAATATTTTCAGGTGGAGCAAATGAGTCATGCATGGTTCATAGTCTGTGTTCAGTGGTGCTGGGTCATAGGTTCCATCAGAACAAATGGTGTTTATTTGAAGGAGGCTGTGTGGTAAGTGTATAATAGCCTGGAAAGATCAAGGAAACCTGGATATAAACTTAGCTCTGTTGTAACTAGTGTTATAATCTTTGGCAAGTACGGTAATGCTGTTGGTGCTCCACCCAGATCACCTTTACCAGGCTGGTGTGTCTGTTTTCTCCTCCATTGCTGCTGTGAATATAGGCTGTGAATGGCACACAGCTGCTGCTTCTCTGGAGAATCACCCTCAGATGATGGGAGTGGTCTACTCCAGAGATGCCCGGGAAGTTAAATCTCCATCATCTCCAGGGTGGCCTGAACTCAATGGTTAACTGATACGAGAATACAGATGCCCAGCCTATTTGCCCTCAGAGGGAATGACTGTTCATGAGGTGCCACTCATGCTCCAGACCTTCCTGTGAAATCAGACTGAGCCCACACAGCAGCCGAAACCACTTCTTTGCTTGGTTTCTTCTCTGTTTTGCTTCCCCTGCTTTCCTTTAGACTTGTCCTGAGAGCATCCTCTCAATAACTCACTGGAACAAGAATCCTTGTCTCAAGCTACACTTTCAGGGTACCTCTCCTAAGACCTAAGAGAGAAGATTCTGGGTCTCAGTTTCACATGACAGAAAATGAGGGAGTTGGATCCATTTTCGTTGATGGGTCTATTTCATCATGAATACAGATTTTAATCTTCAGAGTATTTTTGTATACTTCAAACTCAGATATTTGGTTGTATCCATTCTGTATTCTTTCCTTTACTTATACCTCCCACAAGGAGATCAGTTGAGGAACAAGTATCCTCTAAGTTAAAACTTTTGAGCTTTGGAATGTTTCCCTTCTAGGGAGAGCAGGGGACAGAAGTCAGGCCATTCTACCTCTCCTGGAGGAAATTATAGTAAACAAAACCTTTGAGTTTAGGTGTAGAATACTCAATATTTTCTTGGACACTCATGTTTTTATTGCTTTCACCACTGCAGATATCCTTCTACCTGTCACAGGAATCTCCCAGTCTCAGCCAGGTTGCAACCTCTAAGAAAACCTGTAAAATCACATACCTGCAGGCTATATCATCATTTATATATAGATACAAAAATAAACCATACTATGGTACAGCTTGAGAAAAGTTAGAGAATGTCCATTCATTAAGTATCAGCAACATTCGGGGACCTGTGGAGGTCCTGCCTGAGATCTTAGATACAAAGGAATAGTTAACTAACTAACTAACTAACTAACTAACTAACTAACTAACTAACTTATTTACTCTGTACTATTTCTCTAGTGTTTACTATGTATGAGAATTACAAGAATCATGGGCAACACAAGAGTATCTAGAGCCTGTACCTGTCTTTAAGATTCTTACAAGCTGGTAAAGGGACAGGACAAACCACTCAAAAACTAGTTTCAGTCCCTTTTTGAATTATTGTTTAATTAAAAATCACTACTGGAGGAGCAATTTATATGAGATTCAGAGGTGTTAAAAATCACTGTATTGATAAGTATTATGGCCAATGGTTGAAGGCAAGTTTTGTATTTGGATTTGGACACTAGAAGGGGAAGGAGGTAGAGGGAGATTGGAATGGCTTCCAAGAGAAAGCGATGCTTGAATTTCCCTCTCTATATTCTTTTCTCATTCTTCACTCCCTTTTCTCACCTTTAGACCTCTTCTTTCCTTGCTGGGTAATCCAACTGCAACCACTTCTTCTCTTACTACCTTTGACACAAACAATTCCTGAAGTATTCTAGCTCAGTCTACCTCCCTGATGAAACTCTGAAGCTAAGGAGAGAAAGGAGTCTGGTTGGAAGCCTAAAGGTAGCCACCCAAGAACCAGAAAAATAATGTCTTAGGAGACAAAGGAAGAGAGAGTTTCAAACAAGAACTAGGCTTTAGGGCTAGATATGAAAAGAAATGAAACATGTTTTGTGGTTAGCCTGTTGATAAACTTGGCAAGCATATGTGAGAGAAACAGCAAGGATGGCAGTTTGAAGAAGACCAGTAAGGCGACAAATATAATTTGTCCATTTAAGACATCTGGGAAAGGAAGGAAAGACAAGAACCAGAGCAGGAATTGGTTAAGGAAGTTTCTTTGATACAAAAGAGAACCTGTTTCTATGTTGAGGGGACAGCATTAGCAAAGAGGGACAGGTGAAAATAGAGGAAAACTGATGGAGTCACCTATGAGGGTTGTTAGGGAATGACCTGGCGCTGTTGTGCAGAAAATAGCTTTCTCTTGCTCTGAGATGGGAAGGAAGCGGTAGGTGATGGGCGGGGATGCAGGGAAGTTTATAGACCAGCGGCAGGCAATGCATTTAACAGTGATTACACACTTCCTCTGCTAAGGTCACTCATATGGACCACAAAGATGAGCAAGATACCATCCCCGTACTCTCCTTTCTCAAATATTCACTTCATTTAAATGAATGAATGGATATTTAATCTATGCTCCTTGGAATTCAAACATGCCCAGCATGATAATAAAAATTAGTCTGACTTTTAGGCAGTTTTATTATCATCTTTAAGTCTTCTATAGAAAATGAGTCCTTACTGCCTGCATCTGAGCCGATCTTTTTTGCCACCTTGCCCTTGCTATACCACCAATGTTCAGATGCCTGTTTTAAGGTTTCTCTTTGAAGCAAACGTGAATACATAAAACTAATTTGGGTAACAAGAGTAAAAGAACTGGAGAGAAGTGAAGAAGTCAAGTTTAACCCCTTCACATTACAAAAGAAGGAAATGAGGCCCAGATAGGGGAATGACTCATGAAGCCGCTCAATCCAGAAATGGCAAAGCTGGGTCTGGAATCCAGTTCTCCTAACTCCTGGAGCCTCAGGAAAAAGTTCAGTCTTCTTTACCTTTCCATGGTGTAGCCCAGACAGCAATTTAGTGGCATCCAAGTAAGGGAATGATACATGGAAGCTCTGGTAGATCCATCAGGAAACCAACAAATATTTTGGAGGAGGAAGTAGAATGACTTGATTGCTTTCTATTTCTCTCTGTTATGAAGTCAAAGTGTTCTCTCTTTAAAAGACTTTGGAGATTACTGCAACAAATCCCTCTCTTTTTACTTCATTCATTGTTCTTTGACAATACTTCCAAAGAAATTTGAATGACTTCTTGGTCGTCTGTTGTTCTTAAAGCCACAGACTATATTTTCTGAAGGGATGTGGTGTGTGTGTGTGTGTGTGATGGAAAATAAAAGCAAACTTATATCTGTGATTTAAAAACCTAAGGCAATAAAAAAGAGCGTGATAGAAAATTAAAATATAGGAAACTAAGAAGAGTATCAACTTGGGAGTACATCTTGAAAACTTTTTTATTTCCCTACTACTCTGATGTGCAGTATTCAATGTAATACAAATCATATTTTAGGTATAAACATGGATCTTTTTATTTTAAAAAATACCATAGGAAAGCTTTACTTAATATTTTGAGGAAGCAAAGAATTAACTTCTCATTTATGTATTTTGCAGGTGATAGATTTCACACATCATTTTTGCTTTAAATGGGAATGTACTAGTATAAGTACATCACAAAAGCAAGGAAAGCAACAAAAATAATGACATGATACTTACTTGAGATATTTGTTTTGCTCAAAGAAAGCAGAAGGAAAACTTTATAAAAATTAATTTGTGGCATACCCTCTTTCTACCTTACTCCAAACAATGTTGACTTCCACAGGAAATACCCCAGGTTCATTTTCCGCCCTTCTACCTACCAGAATTTGGATGACAATTAAACAGGATGGTCAGTGGCTCTAAACAAATACTCAATAAATAATTATAGACGCTGTCCCATAATTGAAGATGACCTCAACTTCTATCTACACCAGTTTAACAGAATCAGATGCAACTAAAAGATTCTTTTTATAACACAGCTAGATTCTTCTGGGGGACAAGAAAGACTATTTCCTTCTGGTCCATTTGGTGATGAATATGCCAAACATCTCTAGTTCTAGCCTTTTCAGTTGGTGAATACTCTAAAAAAAAAAAGAAAAAGAAAGAAAGCAATGTGTAGGGGGATACAGAAAAAGTTCGTACCTCTCTTGAAGTCCTATAGGCTTCATTTTGAAAGGAGAAGGGCAGACAGAGGTGGTAGCTCTGATCTCAGGAGTGTATCGGCCTTGAGGGTCCACGACCACACTTAGTACCTTCGGGGCCTGCTCAGGCTGGACCATGCTGTTGACTGTCTTTGCCTCAGACTGTGCTGGCTGTAACGTGAGCGGTGATAGGTGGATCTCCTGATTTTTCTCTTTATCTTGTCTCAAAGAAAGCTGAAATTTTTCTTTTAATCTGTAAAGAATCTATAGGAGGAGATACAAAGGGCTCCTGTCACATTTTTTTTCACACTCAACAATAAAGTGTGGTCTCCTCCACCCCCAAACCTAGAAGACAGACCAGAATAAAGGTTTAACGATAATACAAGTAAGAAAGACTTCTAGGATGATGTCTCAGTTTTGTAGTATCGAGATTTTTCTCAAAAGGATATACTTGGTATTTTTAGTTATGGTGCACAAACATATTACACATATGTGCATGGATTTATTCCTCAAATATTATTAAAAGAAAATTTGGCTAATTTTATAAAAATGCTAGATGCCAGATTGACATGTAAGTTTTTACTTAAAATGACTGAAATGGAAGGCTTATAGAAGGAATAACCATGAAATATGAGCTTATGATGTTTATAGAAACAAAGTTCTGCATCCAATACAACATAGAATAAAGTCTTGCAAAATATTAATGAAAGAATAGTTATGCTATAAACCATAATTTCTTGTGTTGGTAAATATATGCATTCATCGTATATTAACTTGAGTATCTAGTAAATCCTTGAAATAATTAAATTTAGGGCATGAATCAAAAAATAATTTGGATGACCAGAATATTTTTTCTTACCCTTTTCCCCTTTTAATTTTAATGCATGTAGAAAAAAGCAAAAGCATAACTGTCTTCCATTCTCAGAGCTCTTTCTTGAATGACTAATAATTCAGAATTGATAGAATATTCGCTTTTAAGAATTAGACTGACTTTATTGTGTCTATTCCAAAGGACCCTATTGTGAGGTAAGCAAAGTCGGTCTCTCCTGTTCTCACACTTCCATTTTAATAGGCCTTTTTTCCTTTTTTCTTTTAAAAATTTATTTATTTATTATTTTTATTTTAAAAAATGTATTATATTTTTCATTTTATTGAGATATAATTGACATATAACATTGTATAAGTTTAAGGTATACAAAATAATGATTTGATATTTTTTCTCTTCTGTTGATGTTCACTACTCTACTCCAATTCCCGCAGAAATTAGATGTCCTTATGCTTCTTTGAGTCTGTTCAAGGAAATGACTTATTTAGCAGATGAAGAGCTGACTTAACCCATTATCTGCAATTACAGCATTGATAAAATCTGCATCTTATAAAGCCTTAGGCCAAATGAACTCTCCTGTTTAATTTCATTTCTGGAATCCATTAGCTAAATGGGTGTAATTTTAGGAGAGAGGTCTTTTCTGGCACTTTTCAATTACATTTACTCTAACTGGTCAGGGGACTAATTCTTTCTTTCCTCTTCTTTCACATTTCCTTTAAATTCTAGCAATCTCTGTATTTTAATATATGGGAAAGATACAAAGTCTAAACATATTTTTTTCTGATTAGAAGATGAACAAACAGAAAAGAAATTTAGAAAAAAATTCACCTGAAATTGTGGAGGAAATAAATACCTTTAATAATTTATTTCAGGAAAATTTCAGAAAATATTTGTCCAGTATTCTCAAAATACGTTGATGTAAAAAAAAAGTCTATTTAACAATTCTAAGATTATTTTAAAAATCAGAATGAAATAAAAACACAGCAATCTAAAATAAAAAGGTATCAGACTGAGATTAAAAAGAAAGAATTCAAAGAGCTGAAAATTCAGTAGCAGGATGTAAATCTGCAACTGATAAAGAATGGAACTGACAATGCGGAAAATATACTCAATGGCATATATGGCAAAATTGAGAGACTGCCTGGAATGTAGAGGAAAAGAATAAAGAAATGAAGATAAAAAACAAGAGAAAAGATAGAATATGGAAGTCAGAGAAGAGTCATTGTAAATGATAAACCAGAGTGAATGAAAGAGAAGGAAGTCATTCAAAACAATTTTCAGAGCCCACTATGTCATTTACTATAAAATGTACAGAGTATTCTGCTACAAATAAAATAGATTATAACTTATTCTTATGGAATTTAAGCATATGGAATGAAAACATTCCTAGTTTAAATATATATTTATGCATGTAAATTGAAAGAAGAGTAAATGTGAAAAGAAAATGGAGCCATTATATGGCTTTGAAAAAAAAAAATATGTTACAAAGGATGCATGAATTCCATACCTAGATAAATTGATGTTCATGTGAAAGAAGGTAATAGAAAGAACTTCTCGAATATGCGAGGTCTCAGAAAATATACTATCTGTGTACCCTTCCTGAAAAAAATTTACTGTCATGAAAAAGATGACTCAAAAGTAAGAACTAAAGAACTAGAAACTGATAGAAAAGGGAGCTTTAGAATTATTTAAACACAGAGTGAAAAATAAATTTAACTATGTCTCAGGTCCAACATCTCAGGGTGTAGTAGTAAAAAAGGAAGTAAGGGGAGGGCAGAGAGGTACAAAAAAATAAGGGCGAATATACGTTAAGTGACTTTTTAACTAGGGCTACAGAGGGGATGGGAATTAGAATGGTTAATTACTAGAGGTCCTTCTGACCTAATTACACATTAGAGAAACTGCAGTCCAGCCAACTCATGTGGCTTGCCTAAAGCCAAAATTTAGTTGTGGCAGAGCCAAGCCCTAACATAGCTCTGTCTTGCAGGCCTATGCACTATCCACTCTCTTACATTACTTCTGGTGCTGCTTTTCACCACACTATCATTCTCGAAGGTTGACATCTGCAGCAGATGTGATTCTCACCACTGAGTGAAAACCACCGAACCTAAGCATATATCTTTCATGGATGGAAAGGCCTTCTTAAGGAAAAGGACTATGCACATTCGAAGTATACCTAGAAATGCATATTATAATTTGAACTCCAAGAAATTAAAGAGAATCCTTATTGTCTTTTATGTCAGTTTACTTCCACATAAGCTGTACACTTTTATATGGGTGGCATTCGTTGACCTTGGTAAGGTAAAGCTAAATCTTAAAATTTTGAAAACAATGGGTTCTAAATATTCCAATGACAAATATTCCTGTTAATAGTACTACAAATATTACTAAGAAAAAAGATGTCTAATGCTAAGTGACAAGTCTTACTGTTTACAGGTACTTTCCCAAGATATAGGATAAAAAATACAGAAGATGAATCCCCTTACACTGTGCATAATGCCTAAGGATGGGAAGTTTTAACTTACTGCTTCTCTTCAGTTTCTATAACACTTAAAAGACACTTTGCCACCACACCGCTCTGCAAAACCAAACTGCTCACTAGAACAATACCAATCAGATGACACATATGTGTTACGCTAAACACATAGATACTAAAAGATGAGGCAATAGAATTTAAGATGAGATAGTTTTTATTTTTTTTAAATCACGAGCAAGTTATTTTCCTGAAGGAGAACAGAAACAAATATATTGTATCTTTATAAAAAAACATAAATAGAACATAATGCATATATTGTATATTCTAAGTTCTTCATATCTAAATATAATATGTATATCAGAACTTTTGCTTGCTTGTTTACATTTGGGTTTTAGAGAAGCACAGTTCAAAAATGAAAATAAGGAAGCCAAAAATATTGGCCTTCTCAGTAATTTTTGACAGATCACTTTTATGATTCTATTAGTGTAAAACAAACTATTCCAAAGTCCTTCTTTACCAGTCATGAGCTTATGTTCTTGACGAGGAAACTGTCACATATTTTACAGTCATCTGTTTACTTTATCTCTGGTTAGAGGTCAGTTTTTAAATCCGCCTCTATGTAGTATGTGTACAAACTGATTGCTACATCTTTAGGGAAAAGCAGAGCTTGGAGAGTGTATAATGCTTATAAGAAACTGCATAACAATGCTCAAGAGAGAGATTGGGCTGTCTGAAAAAAAAAAGTGGAAAAAATTTAAGAAGTCTGCTACTTGGCAATAGGACATTTGTCATGGAATTAAGCTATAAAATAGTGGTTCTCAACCA